GATGGAGAAGAAGGAGAAGAGCTAAACAGCTCTTGGAGACCAAAAACAGTGAAAACTGTTTCAAATTCCAAAAATACTAATTCATGCTCTTCTTCTACCTATAGCAACTATTTATAACAATATAATAGAAATGCCTAGAACTCTCTAGAAAAAGGTACTAAATTAGATAAGCTATTCCTAAGTCTTGATTTAACTAATATGCTCCGCATCATTCTCCCCTTGTTTGAAGAATTTGGGACTATCAGTCCTAGTGGTAGTTAAGCTTGCGGTGGAACTCCTGAGCTTGGGTTTGTATAACTTTGTTTTCTACAATTTGCACTTTGTCTCGGCTTTGTGTCTCTCCATCTCCTCAAGAATTCTTATGGCATGCTCATCCTTGCCGTCCTTCTCAAAACCTAATATCAGAGGAGTGTAAGTAACAACATCAGGCTCTATCCCCTTTGCTTCCATTTGCATCTTAGCTCCATTGCTTCTTCCAAAATTCCATATTTAGCATAGGCTGAGATAAAAGAACCGTACGTGACTAAACTCGGAGGAATACCATTGGCATCCATCTCCCCAAAAACCTCCATAGCAGGAATCTGCCTCCATTAATTTAACATCTACAGTAACTGAACTTTGGCCTGAAGTTCCAGCACCAACATGAGCAACATCAACCCCTGAGAGATTTCTAAAAGCCTTCATGATATGGATCCCTCAGTTTCATACACGTTCAAAGTGCCCTTCCGAGAGATGTAACGCCGGTTGCGCATCTTTCCCTTCCCAGGACGGATCCCAAACGAACCCATGGCTTTCTCCGCATCCGCATAAGCTCCCACCTGCTTTAGGATCTTGATTGCTGATGAGGTTTTCTCAATGGATTCCACAGAATCTAAGAGAACAAAAGAAACCTCCTGGTGGTGCGCGTGGAAGCATGATCGACAGTGTAGTCCGGACGGACGCGGGAATGGGTTTGGGACGAATTTGAGACAGCACCATTCGAGCAAATAGCTGGTCGATGATGAGTTGCTGATGCTGTATTCCACATAGGGTTTTTTCCTCAAATGAGAGGGTGAGCTGGACAATACCGGCAGGGGAGTGGAACCGAGTGAAGGGAATCAAATGAAGGGAACACATGGCGAAGACGATCAGAATGGGATATGGGAAAGAGGAAAGGGGCTCAATGGATTCTAGGTTAGCAGGATTTTTATTGTTGTCTGCAAAATCATTGACGTTGGTGATACTGCTGCAGCGGATATGATGGCTTTCTGAGCTCTGGGAGCTCGGACTGGAGAATAGAGGAGGATGATTCGGAGAAGCAGGGTACTTCTCGCTGATTTCGTAAAAGGGGTTCTCCGTGGCTTTGAGTGAAGGGTCGGGTGTGGCATCGCGGGAGCTGAGTGCGGGCGAGGACGTGAGCGGGAATGCGGTGGGGATTGGAGCGCGAGAAGATGTCCGACCGGATGGATCTGGTCGTTGGGGACAAAGACGACGAGGATCTGGTTGCGAGGCCGTGCGGGTGGATCTGATGGGAAATCGCGTGCTGGAGCGAAAGCGAAATCATGCGAGGAGGATTACGCAGGTGCGGCTTGAGCGCTGTAATGGGCGCCAAGCGTGGGGTCGCAAGTCAGAGACGAATAGCAGCGAGTGTGGTGGCCTGGTTGGAGAAGGACGAAGCATGCTTGGGCGCTGGAGAGGTCGGCCGGATGTGCGGGTGAAGTTGATCGAGGGCAGAGGAGCTTGCGAATAGCAATCAGATTGAATGTCAGGTGCGGCGCGAGAGATGAGATGAAGCTGATGGTGATTGACAGCGGGATTGGAGCGGATGCCTGCTGTCGCGAGTATCCAGGACGTCTTCGTGGTCGCGGGAACTGGACAAGCAAGGGCACTGACTCAGAACGGCAGAGTGGGCCGATCATGAGGGGAGCGACCAAGATCACAAAGGGTGAATGGTGACGGAAGATGTCCGATGGTATGGTTGCCATCGGTGGATTCGTTCTGGTATGGTTGCCAGAAGATGGCATCGCTGGTATGGTTGCCAGCGGGGGAATGTGTAGATTTTCCGGTATGATTGCCGGCTGGTGGAGGCTTCGAACGTCATCGACAGCCCAACTTCATACATGATCTTCCCAAAGCATCCAAAACCCTGATCGACGTCAAGGGTTGATGTAGCAGCAGCCCAGGGCCCTGATCGACGTCAAGGGTCATACCTCGCTCTGATACCATCTGATGTGGGGAGAATCACCAAAGAAGCATGATGGAGAAGAAGGAGAAGAGCTAAACAGCTCTTGGAGACCAAAAACAGTGAAAACTGTTTCAAATTCCAAAAATACTAATTCATGCTCTTCTTCTACCTATAGCAACTATTTATAACAATATAATAGAAATGCCTAGAACTCTCTAGAAAAAGGTACTAAATTAGATAAGCTATTCCTAAGTCTTGATTTAACTAATATGCTCCGCATCACAGAATAAACATTATAACAAAATTGATAATAAATACACAATCATTGAACTATGTGTAGAAGATAAAAGAGATAACCTCCAAAGTTAAGAAGGAAAACTGGCAAAGAAACAGTAACGCTCTAACATCGAAACAAAAAATGTACAATGAAAAATGAACTAAATATTACAAAAATATCTATAAATCCTGACGGCTGATTAACAAAATCAAAAGGCTAGTTAATGTTAACGCACAGCCTTTTGCTAACTGCAGGGAGAAAGGTTGCTTGTTCAAGCTCTTTTCTCAAGTTTCTGAAGACTTGTTAGCAATGACTGAACTAAAATTTTTTCTTTACAATGACACATGAGTTAAACTTTCTTACCTATGAGATAAAAATTGAATGTTTACTATGGAAAACATTAAATAACAGAAGTATATTAATGTAAAGATGTTATCCCATTTATTTAAAAAAAAAAGTTATATCAGCTGAAAAATACTAAGAAATTTCAACCCGAAATTGAATATGCTTAGAGCGTTTCTTCATTAGGCAGAAATTATGTTCAATAAATTAACATTTGTTCATTATTTCAGAACTGAGCCTTAAGAAGTCTGGATCAATAACATACTCATTCACCTCTCTACGCACTTAATTTGTGCATTTGATGATCTCTTCACCTTGTTGATGTTAAGCTCTTTGTGGTATTGCGAGTGATTTTAAAATAATTCTTTGTTTTTGGTTCCTGTTGATGCTGCCAATACATAAGAGGTCGGGTGATATCCTTTGATTTTGTACTTTGGATAACTGTTTAAAATTGAGTAATATGAGGCTCGTCTTGAGGCCTTATTCAGTACAATTCTAGTAAAAAACATCTAGAAGCTTATACCTCAAGCTTTTTTAATAAAGCTTGTGCCTCAGCTTGGCTAAGGCCTTTTTCAAAGTGCTATTTGGCTTGTTGGCTTGAGGCGTACATCTCACCCTATTTATATACATTTTATTAAAACTTACATAAATCATAAACTAAAACCCTGAACAAATCATACATTTATACACACTCGAGCCACAACAACGTACTCTTGATTGCCGCAACCTCCAGCCAGCCGCCTTCATCATTCCTCCTAAATTTGTAACAGCAACAACCACTGTTATAGCCACCGTCAGGAATCATTTAAAAGCCGCACTCCCAATATTGTTGCCCTCGTCAAAATGATGACTAATTTAACCGCACAACATATTTGAATGTATAAACAATTCACTAAACAAACTAAGCAGCACTGTAACCAACTCAACAAGAATTGCAATTAGCCCAACTAACAAAACAAAAAAAAGTTGTTGGTGCAATTAACCCAAGTGGTGATGGGCCACCAAATTTTATCTTATTTTTGTTATCTTGATTACATAACAAACCTAGTATCAGCTTAAACAATATTGCAGTAGTTCAAGCATTTGTCGATGCCATTTTTGATGATTTTCATGGCTTATCACATGATTGTTAGATCAAATTCACTTTAGATATAGTTCCCAATACTGCTATAACTTTAGATCTTCATAGCTTATCACATGATTGTGAGATTAAATTCACTTAAGATCTAGTTCCAAATACCGCTATTATTTTAGATTTTCATGACTAATCACATGATTGTGAGATCAAATTCATTTCAAATCTAGTTCCAAATACTACTATAATATAAAAGGCAGCATATCGCATGATAAGATTTGAACTTCAAGGCCCAAGGTGGAGTTGCAAGAAACGTTTGACCTATAGACTACATATCTGAAAGTGGAAAGATAGTTGTGTTGGAGAGCAGTCAAAACTACCAAAAGCATTCCAAAAATAAAAAAAGTAGATGACTACACTTGACAAGGCCTTGCACTAGTGTCACCTTTGACTGTCCCAATCCACACTGCTGCTTGGCTGAACCAGCTGTTTAATCGAACCCAACTCCACCTGACCTGACTCACCAAACCACCTTTACATGCCCATATTTTCAGATTATGCACACATAGACAGTTTGGTTCAATACACTATGCACATAAGCTTATACTTTTATTATACATGCCATGGAGAAAAATAAGGGACTTCTATAGTTTTTGGTTCAGCCTGGGTGAAGGTGAGCATGTAAGACAATCCCAGCCATGTTTTCATCATCCTGACCATAATTTTCCTTATCCTAACCATTTGGTTAGGCAAAATGGCACTGCCTTTCAAGCTATGCGTAAGAAGTAAAAGTCATTTTGTGGGTCATCAATGGTGTCAAGCAGGCCCCAAATAGTAGATTCAGATGTAAAGCAAACCAGGATAATTACAATAACTTTATTAGTTTCGAGCTGCATGAACAAAGCTTTAGATAAACTATGCACCCAATGGAACAAACGAAGAACTCATTTTATTCACTCGTTAGCAAATACACTATTTATCTAATTTACAAATGAAGCAAAAATGTTTCAAAAATTGAAGCTAACGGGGGAAAAGTACAGGCGTACACAGTTCATGGCTCCTCCCATAGTCAATTCTCAATATAAAATGACTGCAACAGCTAAACATTTATGAAACTTTACAGTTAAATTCAGGATCATCTCTTCTTGGTATGAGAAACTAAAGGGAACTCCACAAGAACGATAAAAGATGATCTCTCTGCCTCCCTAAGATATTGTACTGTGCCATTCATGATCTTCACAAGTTTCTGACTTAAGAATAAACCAAGGCCCTCTCTTGAAATGCCTGGGCTTTGATGAAACATCTCCTGCACCAGAGTCTCTGGAATACCCGGTGCAGGGTGAATAATCCTGAATCAAATACATCATAATAGAATCAATAATTTAACAAGGCAAGGCGCTCATTCACCATTAACTGAGATTAAAATTTGTGATAAAATTTCACCTAACATCAAGATGGACAATCTGCACGCCAGTTCCTATATTTTGTTTTCGTGGGGTGGCACAGAGAACTACTGATCCTTCGGCCCGTGGACTGAACTGTAGTGCATTTATAAGGAAGTCTGCCAAAACTTGCTGAAGACGTAAATTGTCTCCATACAGATACATAGAAGAGATCTCTGCAGGTGAATCATTAACAAGTGAGACCTGACGTTCCCTGCTAAGATCCATCCCCTGGACTATGACTGCTTCAAGTGCTTCTCCAAGGTTAAATTCTACCATGTTTAGCTCCAAATAGCTGTTTGAAAAAAGGAGGGTGAGCAACATTCATTCTTCTGCTCATACGAGTTATTTCAATAATCTTCAGCATGTTGAACAAGAGTAAATGGGATAAAAAACCATTTTTTTTATTAAAAAACATGCGTCTTAGAGCTGCCAAAACCAAAAGAACTACTATGTTATTTAAAGCTAAGCATTTTTACAACAATTTACACCTAGTGATACCACAATTAGTACCAGATGCAGATTACAAGAAATATAATGCCTAGCAATGGTGATCGTCATTAACTTCATTAACTTTACGCCAACTAGAACAAGGAACCGATACCCATGTTCGCATAAATGGCAGTGTTGAACAGTAATGTTAGGATGACTCAATAAGATAAATTTCATAAAACGAATGACAGAGAATCACAATTCATACCATAAGTGCAGAGAAAATGAACTCCAAATCATGTTAGAGCTCACACTGTTCATTCAATATTGCAGAAAGATTGCATTGTTACCAAACAACCAACAACGAAGGATGGACAAGCTGAAGTGATATGGGATATGTTAAACATCAAGTTCACAGATAGGATAACTCCTGAAAATGTGGGCGAAGCCAACCATTGGTTTTCGCAAATAACATCTTGATACATAGCATTCATTTAATAGACATTCGCTAATTAATGCAAAAAAATATGCTGCTACATACATAAGTTTAGGAAAATAAATTTAACCTAACCATTCAGGATAGTGCAGACATGCAAAACATAGAGCATGGTTTAAAATTGTGCAATAAGAGGCACGCCTCAAGGCCCGCCTCAGTACAATTTTAAACTTTTAAGCCTCAAAGCTTACGCAATGAGAGCTGGCATTGAGGCGTACACCTCAAGCTCATTGAGGCGCACCCCTCGTCTGATGTTTTAAAGGCATCCACCTCTTAAAAAAAAAACCCTAACCTAATATATATCTATTCAGTTCAGCCCCCCACTCCCGTGCGTCTTCGGTCATTTCGGAACCGAAACTAGGTTTCTTCTCACTTCTTCTTTGAGCGACATTTTCCCCTCTTCTAGAGTTCCTTCCATTCGATCAATGTTAGCTTCCTTCCACCGTTAGTTGCTCTTTGCCTATTGCTTGGAGTTCTCTTCTACCGCAAGTTGGCTGGAGTCTCCTTCGATCAACAATCGGTCTGTTTGCTCGGTACCGCTTAGTATCGCTCGGTATTGCTAGGTACATGCTCGGTACTGCTAGGTACCGCTCAGTTTGTCTGCTCCGTACCGCTTGCTATTGCTTGGTATCGCTAGGTACATGCTCGGTACCGCTTGGTTCAACAATGCTCGATACTGCTCGGTACATGCTCGGTACAGCTCGGTATCTTTCCATACAAACGACTTACGAACTTTAAAAATAAGCAGAACTTCAAAATTGCTCTTACCTCGCGACCTGACCGGGTAGGTCGAACCCCGCTAGGGGACTGGCGGACTGCGTCCCCTTAGACCCCCGGTTGCCTGGCATACTGTTGTATTCATCATCTTTAGTAATAGTTGTTAGTGTTAGTCTACTTCTTCATAAGTGCATGCTTTGTATAAGTTTTTTAATATAAAATAAGTGAAGCATTATGATTAGGTGTTTGATAAGGCTGCATCAAGTCATAGAAAAGATCCAGCATAGAAACATAGCACTCATGTGGATGTAGGAGAAAGTGATAAACATATATCTATCTAAAATGCAATTACTTTGACAAAGTTGCAAAGGGTGGTGTGATTAGGATAAAGATCACCTTTCAGGGTCTCACAAGAATGTTGCTCCATGCTCCAAAGTTCCTGCTACTGTAAGGGAGGAGATAGAATTTGAGTTGAACTATTCATATTGTCTTATTATTGAAATATTTTGATTTCACTTCATATCTTGTGCCTTTTTATGTTTTATATTTTTTACTCATTAGTATATAAAAAATTTATCATTTTATGTTTACGCAATCTTTTGATTTTGAGGCTTATGCCTCAAAACGCCTTGAGGCTTACGCCTCGCCTCACGAACGAAAAACACTTCAATACCCGATTACGCAATTTTAAACATTGACATAGGGAAGTAAGATGTAACACCATGCATTTTTACATAAACTGCATCCATATCTGAACAAGTAATTGTAATAATATAAACTGAAGAAAATGATAATCAAGCTATAATTATTCAAAATATCATTGATTTCCATATTCCATATTTCTATATTCAATATGTATCCAGCAATTCCTTTTGAAATTTAAATCACATATTGCCATAAACAAGCAGATGTTTTACCTTCCATGTTTCCCAATCTGAAATGATCTTTAAGAGAAATTAAGAATCCAAGTATTTGATATGTCCCAATGAGTAGCCTCTTAGGATTTGGGGCTTCTAATACAATTATAATATGCAAAGTACAGTTGAAAAGATTGGCGATGCTTATGTTATAGATTTTTCAAATGAGGTGCCAAATTTAATGCAATAAATGCAAGAACAAACATGCAAAGCTTATGGAAAAGCAAACTATCGATCACAAACAATATTTTACTACTAAATATGATGAATATAAGGAAATAGAATTAAATTTCTAGTGAATTTTTTTTTTCTCCAAATAAAACCAACCATGAGAGAGAACCATGGAAATAAATTTAAAATATTACAAATCTATCCAACTAAAAGGACCAAGAAAACTTACATCCATAATTAAGGCTTCGGTTGCAACAACTTTTGGCCACTGCTTTTTTTTGTTATTTTAAAAAAAAAATTGTGCTAGAAAGCTATTATTGAAAGTAGTAAAAAAACAAAGCCTAGGATAGCATGCATATAAATGAAATCAATTCTGTAGCAAATCCATACCAAACCAATCAAATTGTCAATCAATCATTTCTCAAATGAAAGAATATAATAGTCGAAGAAAGGAAAAAAATTAAATCAGACAATAATCCATCCGCTCAAAACAAAGAGATCCCAAAATACTTCACGCATCAAGAAATTCAAAAACTTCACATCCATAAAACTAAAATTTCGCTAAGCCAAAGTTATTTTTACAAGACTTGTAAGAACTTTACTTACAGACATTTGAAATAGGTAATACATAGAAATTTAATGCAGGGAAATCCAGTAAACTTAGACCATCAATAGACATCATCTCTCATTACAGGTACTAAAATTAAAAGAAAAATAACTAAACTCTTATTAGAGAAAATAATAAAACTGTTATGAGTTAATTAAAATTATTTGCTGAGATATAAATATTAAAATATATGCCTAATATTTATAGTAGATATCTATAATAATTTATTTGCTGAGATATAAATGTACAGCATGATAACATACATACCACTGTTCAATGTTTTCCAAATCCGCATCATCTAAGATCTTAGCCAACTGCTCCTGGCACAGTGCACTGGTCCTAATTAGCTTCTTCTGTTGCTCAGTTAACTCTGAAGCCTCCATCAAATTGCGTGTAAACACAATTCCTCCTAAGGGATTCCTAATTTCTTGGCGAAGGTGAGCCAACTCCTTTAGACTACTCATGGCAGCTTGTTCAGACATTCTTTGAACCTGTAAAGCATGCTGAAGCTCTGGGCTTGCCACATGCAAAAAGCATAACACTCCTGTAACCTTCCCTTCAGCATTTGTTTTCTTGTTTGCAGATAGCAAAGCTTCCACATACTTATCTTTCGCATCATAGAACCCAAAGAGCAATTTTTCCACATCTTGCCCTGCAATCACCCCATTAAGCACAATCTTAAGCTTCGTTAAAGTGTCATGATCTTTGACCCTACAGCCAGAACCCTGAAGAGTAAAAACCTCCCCTATGAGCATTTTATCAATTGCATCCTCTCTTTTCAAACCAGAAATTTCTTGCATGGCAGCATTCCACTCAGAACAGCAACCATACTCATCAATCATGAATATTGGTGGGATGAGAGCGCTTGGATTTCTGATTATTGCAGTATAATCACCTTGAATACGAGTATATTTATCCATAACCATTTTATGCTGTGTCATATCTTGACCAACAAAACAAACTCCGACCACATTCTCGTTCAGGTCATGGCTACAACAAGCATTAACTACCAAGATGACAGGTCCATCTTTTTGTTTAGGACCAAAAGTTTTAAGTTTAATTTCTACATTATTTTCTTCTTTGCCTGTCAATAACAGTGGAAATGATGAATGCCATTATATTAAAGCAAAAAAAAAAAAAAAACTTGAAGATGAGCAGAATGGAAGAAGAGATAAAACATAAATAAGGATGACAAAAGGATAAAAATATACCTTGCAAAGCTAAGCTGAGGACATTCCTTGCCACATCTGAAGTTTCATCCTCAACAAGGTTGATAAACGGCATTCCAATAGCCTCTTCAATGGACAACCCTGTTAGCTCAGCCGCCTTTGTGTTCCATCCATTCAAGGTCCCTAAAGCATCAACTGCTAGAATTGGGACTGTTGCAGTCTCAATGAGACGAACCATTTCGTTAGTAACCGTACGAAGCTCCTCTACCCCTTGGGTTTTCCTTTTATCATAAGTTTCCGTCTGCAGCATGGACTTTGATTCAACAGCTACAATCTCATCTTTGAGTGAGCCACGAAATATAAGCTGCAAGGAATGAATTGCATCCATCTCAACATCTTCCCAAGGAAGACTTCGATGTTTAACCACCTCCAAAAATGCTTTAAAAGAAGCCCTGGGATGCATTTTCCTGAATTCATTTTCTACATCAGCAGGTTCATCCTTGGCTCCTCCCCACTTGATTTCCTTAGCAGTGTGTGGTCTAAACCAAAATATGAAATCTGATGAGGTGATTTTAATTGCAGCCATTCCACAAACAGCATCTCCTAGTGCATCAGCACCAGGATAACCTGCTTCTCTCAAGCTGTCTGTGCTTAAGCCTGTCGATCCATCATGATATTCTTGGATCCATGCAATGATATCTTTTATCTGCGCTTCGGTAGGGGTTGTTCCAAGCAACCAAAACTGCTTGCGGTAATAAAGGGCAGCACCTTCACATTTAACAAGATCCATAACATTAGGCGACTGTGTGAAAATACTGATTGGAGAATCTCTAAGGATCATGTCACATATAACAGTCTGTGTTCGGAGTATATGCTTCTCCTTTGTTTGAGCAGCTAACTCAACCTCTTTGTTCAACTGTATTCCAAAAACTTGAAGCAAGAATTCACAAGCATATCTAAGCGGGAATGGTACAAATCTAGGACTTGTGTGATGGCAAACTACCAATCCCCAAAGCTTCCTACCCTTTGGCTGCTGATCACTATCCAGCTTATTTTCGTCATCATCGTCTTCATTGATTGTAATGGATAACACGAGAGAGGCAATTGATCCCATGTTAGCCATGTACTGAGCATGACAGCCATGAGGAGCTCTCAAAGTGGAGCCACATAGGCTCATAGGCTGAGCCAACCTATGATCCTGGATCACTTTGACAGGGTGAGCAGTGCAATCACATATCATCCTAACTTTATTCTTCATGAACAGAAATCTTGAAGCCTGCGGTATGTCAGTGGCCGGGTAATGTAAACCAAGATAAGGCTCCAAATCAGACCGTCGACACTCAGCTATAACTTCACCATGCTCATCTTCATGGAACTTGTAAACCATCACCCTATCATAGCCAGTAAGCTCACTCACTTCCCTGACCAAGACATCACACATAAGAGAGATGTTCCCACTAGGCAAAGATTGCAACCTTGAAATGGCCTTTGCAGCGAGTTTATAGGATTTAAGTGCCCCAGCAGCAGTCACTGGTACATCTGCTGGATTAACAGGCTCCAAGTCTATAACCAAACCTTCATTAATCCGGTGTAGAATCGCATAAAAGGGCTTCCCAGAGCTTCTGCAATGCACTAGTATAGGATTGAGGAGATTGACATCAACAAAGCTTGCAGCTTTCTGCAATGCAATGGAGCTAAGGGACCTAAAAAGAGTGCGCGCATCCATTCCAATTGTTAAAGCTTCCCGCTGCTCAATGTTGGGGACTGCATGGGGAGCCAAATCAAGCAACTCAGGAGCATTCTCACTGTATGCTATGATCATAAATGTGTGGTCATCAATTGCTACCATGCACCCAAATGGTTGAATGCACTGCCCTCTCTGCATTCGTTGGAGATAGGCTGAAACTGAACTAGAGGGGATGCCACTGCTCCCTCCACCACCGCCGCTAGTTGAACGGTTTGTAGCTCCCATCGTTATGGAGTAATCAAATGGCTGGCCAGAATCCTCGAACTCAGCATGAAGTTTGGCATCCAAGGAGGTCTGAGCAAAAACCCTAGCGGTATGTTTGGATCGGGTAGAGCTGCTCCTGGAACAGCTCTCCTTGTTCGACTTTGATGTCATCTCTCAAAATCCTATCTTTCCAAATCAAATCTCTAGTGCTCCACAAACTCAACGTAAACAAAGTTAAGAACGCCGCATAAAATGTATTGAGGATCCTGAACCAAAGTTCAATGATGGGATTGGATATACTAACCAGATCCTAAGTGTAGAACAACGCAGCAAAACATCAAACATGCAGAGAAAATAGAGTAGAAATGAATATAAAATTGAAAAGGGAAAACATCAACGATACAAGGGTTAAAACAGACTGAAAGCCTCTCCAAGATAATTATTTTCGTTTGGGTAAAAAGAGAAGATGAAGGCAAGATGCAAATAGAGGCCCCATGAATGGATTCTTATCCAATAAGCAACAAAGTAGAGAAAAAAAAGATGAGAGGCAAAATGACCTGATTCTCCTGAAAGCATCACAACCTTGAAATAGGGTTCTCCCAAAAACCTTACACAAATCTATCAGAAACCTGATTCTTCATCTCTATCTTTCAAGCTTCCTCTTTGAACTCCACGAACAATTTTGCGCTACTAATATGACAACTAATCCCAGTAAAGCTAACAAATTTCTATGAACAGGGGGAATTAAGAGCAGAGTTGCTCTCGATTAAGAAAATTACATTGGAATGAAAGCAAGAACATGGACATCAAAGGTGAAGTAAGAACCTTCAGAATAAGATAGGCCTCAACACGTGAATCAATCTTCTTTGTTGTCTGCCAAAAGTTCTTAATAAATGGAAGAAGGAAAATAGTGAAGTGAATGAAAAAAAAAAAAAGACTTTTTTATTTTATCGGCATAAACCCACTTTCCAGCCTTGGATTCCATTCAATACGAATTACCTTCTTATTTATCATTTCAAAAAATTATATGAAATTACTATGTTTTAAATTTATTTTAAAATAATATTATATAAAAAGTTGTATTACATTAATTTTAAAATTTATTTTAATATAATTTATATAAAAATATGTAAACTTAAAATTTGTCAAGATCAGAGGAAGATAACCATCAGCAATCACCAATTAATGAATGCCAGCTAACATTTCTATTTGACCTAAAAAAAGCTTTAAAACATAAATTTATTTAAAAAATAATTTTATAAATTTGACGATAGAATTCATAATCTTTATAAAAATCTGTATGAAGAATGTAAAGGACGCACTCCGTGGGTTTTCTGAGATAAGAGGATAATTTAAGAGATATTATTATTCGATAATACTGATGGGAACAGGATTAGTTAAGGGCCCACAGCTAGACCAAACAAACCACGTGACTGGACACGTGGTTGAACAGAGTCCACAGAGTCACGACAGTGTGGCCACTGTTAGGTCCACACACCAGCGTGGCCGGGAAACATCACGTGATAGGCTATCCTGTTTTTGGCCCTTTTAAGTCTTCAGTTGAAAAACGGAACGGATGGTTCACGTGTGTCAATCAGTAAGCCAATTGGGGGCTCAAGCGCTACTGGATAAATAACTAATGAGTTAAATTTGTTGAGTTCCCCAAACTACCCCAAAAAAAAATATTGTTGAGTTGATAAGTTAAATTAACTCAATTTTGACTCCACTTGTTAACAGACTCATTTAAAAAATATTCATATAAAATGCACTTAAAATATATTAGCATTTAAATTTTAGTTAAATTTGCATCTAAAATATTTAAAAACTATATTTTTTTATTAAAGAATTCTTTATTATGGTTTTCTAATTTTTCATTTTTTTTACAATTTTATTATAATAATTGTTTGTGAAACATCAATAAAAAAATTGTTGATCTCCTTAAACCTGTACAGAGCAAGACAAACCTACATAAGCTAACAAGAGACGATGAGAACTGTTTGTATAAACATTCATTTCATTGAGTATTCACTTGTACAGTGATGGGTTTATAACAGGATAAGCTATCATGGTAAATACCGAAACTATCCTTGGGTAGTTACAGCACAGAGCATGTCAGACTAGTGGAGAGCCACGATTGCAGTTGGTAATAAGCACAGCAAAGTCATTATGTAGTTGTTTGGACACTATTAGTGATACGTCATGTAAAAATTATCTTGGCCGGGCACGAATCTCAAGGCAAAATCAGTTCGGAAACTTCAAAAATTAAATTTGAGAGCATATGAACTCCGATTTCAACGAGCTTACAGTCAAATTGAGCGTCTCGGAAATACGAACCCAACGACACCAAGATCAACCCAATCTGAGCCCAAATGAGTCCAAATCAAGTGTTCAAAGAACTGTTAGAAGGTTCAAACCGCAATTTGAGTTACCAAACGGTCTCCGATTTTGACGAGCTTATACTCGAATCGAACGGCTCAACGAGACGAATCCAACGAGCCCAAGATCATCAAATTCCGATTTCATTAAAGCCTTCAAATGTCCAACGAACGGTGCATGATCAAAGGATTCGATATCAGCCGTCCATTCAAACCACTCCTAATTCGCCCATGATCTCACGCCTATTTACGGGCTATGCCACTCCAGAAAAACTATAAATAGAGCCCTCATTCTACACCAAGGGGTGGTAGTTTGAATCGTGGGGGTTGGCAGCAGTTACAGTCAACATTCGAAATAATTAAAAATAGGGGGATTTTCATGCATACCACTTTATTTTTTTTATATTACATATTTAACACCCGATACTTAAATATTACATTACTACCACCCAAAACTTATTTTGACAACAAAAATACCACTCCGTCAATAGAATCCCTCACTCCGTCTCTCTCATTCGGCAATACCTAACCACCCAACGACGGAACGTCCTCATTGCTTGCGCTGAAGGCTTCCAGCACATTTCTCGTGGAACCCTCTGTTGTCGTTTTGTTCCGGTGAAAGCTGTAGTTTCTTTTGCATCTTCTTTAACTGAATTGCAGCCGGAAGGATTCACAGAAGGAGATAATGGAAATATATGCCACTTGAATAAACCTATATATGGTTTGAAAAAATTCTCCCAGTCACTGGTATAATCGATTTGATAAGTTTATACAAAGTAAGGTTTTAAAAATGCATCCAAAACATCTGCGTCTACCTCGGGCAAGTAACAGATTCAAGATAGGCAACTGATTCCAGCTCATTTGCATATGTAAGGCAGCACTCATACTCATCCCTTAGAACAATGTTATTTATATTTCCCAATCCGTCATCTCTTCAATTGAAAACGAACAACATATAAGTTTTCTGATCTGGAAGCCACACTCTCTTCTACAGAAACATAAGTATTTCTTATGTTCGCTGACCCTAAGTTTAACTTGGGAAGAAAAAGGAGCAAAGCTAATGCAGAAATGCATAGAGAAGAATAACTAGGGAAGGAAAAGGAGCAGAGCTCACCTGGGAAATGCAAAAACAGAGTTCGCTTGGAAAGAGCCTCTATAGAGATAAACGAACGGGAAAAAAACCTATTCTTGCATGGAAAGCTCACGCGGGAAGAATGAAAGAGACGGAGTGAGAGATGCTGTAGACGGAGTGGTATTTTTATTGTCAAAATAGTGTTTTGGTGGTATTAGTGTAATATTTAAAAATTAGTTGTTAAATATGTAATATACCAGAAATAAAGTGGTATGCATGTAAATTTCCCAAAAAAATATTGTTGAGTTGATAAGTTAAATTAACTCAATTTTGACTCCACTCGTTAACAGACTCATTTAAAAAATATTCATATAAAATGCACTTAAAATATATTAGCATTTAAATTTTAGTTAAATTTGTGTCTAAAATATTTTAAAACTATATTTTTTTATTAAAGAATTCTTTATTATGTTTTTCTAATTTTTCATTTTTTTTTACAATTTTATTATAATAATTGTTTGTGAAACATCAATTAAAAAATTGTCTTGATCGAGCAAAAATCTCGAGGCACACTCAAGTTGGTGTTGAGCTCCTTAAACCTGTACAGAGCAAGACAAACCTACAGAAGCTAACAAGAGACGATGAGAACTGTTTGTATAAACATTCATTTCATTGAGTATTCACTTGTACAGTGATGGGTTTATAACAGGATAAGCATGATCATGGTAAATACTGAAACTATCCTTGGGTAGTGACAGCACAGAGCATGTCAGACTAGTGGAGAGCCACGATTGCAGTTGGTAATAAGCATAGCAAAGTCATTATGTAGTTGTTTGGACACTATTAGTAAGAGTATCATTATCAGCTCCCCGCAAATGGATGGGAGGTTCGACCATCAATTTGTCTCTGAGTAGAAGAAGACGTTGAGATGACATAGACTTAGTAAATATATTAGCTAGTTGATCCGGGGAAGCAACATGTTGGACAGATATATGTTGAGCTTGAACGCAATCCCGAATAAAATGGTGGTCTATCTCTATGTGCTTAGTTCTGACATGAAATATAGGATTTGATGCAAGAGACATAGCGGAGATATTGTCACAATAGAGAGGAGTAGATTTTTGGGGAATAGAGAAATCTTCACATAGCCGACGAACCCAGATTAAATCAGCAGCAGCCGTGGCAAGTGCGCGGTATTCAGCTTCAGTGGATGAACAGGCTACGGTGGTTTGCTTTTTAATCGACCAGGAAAGAGGAGCATTGCCGAGCAAAATGCAAAAACCAAAAGTAGATTTCCTGTCTTGAGTATCACCAGCCCAATCGGCATCAGCATATCCAGAAAGAGTGAGATCACCACTGGAAAGAAATAAACCATGATTGACGGTTCCTTTAAGATACCGTAAAACTCTTTTTAACAGTTGAAAATGAAGAAGCAAGGGCTGATGCATAAATTGACAAAGTTTGTTGACAGCAAAGGCTATGTCCGGCCGGATATTGGTAAGGTATTGAAGTGAGCCTGCAATTTGCCGAAAAAGAACTGGTTGGCTATATGGCTGCTGTAGTTCAGAGTCCGCAGGCCATTTTGAAGGCAGAGGAGTAGAAATGGGCTTACAGGCGGACATATTAGCAATACTGAGTATATCTTGAATGTATGCTACTTGAGATAAGTGATAGCCAGATTTTGATCTTGTGAAGTCAATACCAAGAAATTTTGAAAGCTCGCCGAGTTATCTAATATGGAAACACAGCTGAAGTTGTTGGAGTAAATCGGTGATGAAACGTTGATTGTTGCCGGAGATCAAAATGTCGTCAACATAAATTAATATGTAAACTTGTATGTGATTATTATTATGTATAAAGCAAGAGGGATTGGCAGAACTAATGTGAAAGCCATGAGTAATAAGATAAGATGACAAGGTAGCAAACTATTGTCAAGGAGCTTGTTTAAGCCCATAGAGAGCTTTATGCAACTTACAAACATGGTCGGGTTTGAGCGGATCTTGAAATCCTTGAGGTTGTTGCATATAAATGGTCTCGGTGAGATGGTCTTGATTTAATTTTATTTTATGTAGTTTTATTTTGGTTTTGATTTATTTTTAATTATTTTTGATTGCTTATTTATTCAAGCTATAAAATTGGCCAACCGAAATGTAGAGCTACTATAATAAATAGTCGAATGGTTGGAAACTTGACCACGGGACTAAATGTCTCACGGTAGTCGATCCCGTATTCTTGCTTGTATCCTTGGGCTACTAACCGTGCTTTGTAGCGAGAAAGATGACCGTCAGAATGGCATTTAATCTTGTAGATCCATTTGCATCTAATGACCTGTTGATTAGAAGGTGGTGGCACAAGAGACCAAGTTCCTTGAGATTGTAATGCAAAAAAATTCAGCAGACATAGCTTGGCGCCATTCAGGATATTTGTTAGCAATGGTATAGCAAGTAGGGGTGGGAAGAATAGTGTGTTGAAGATCAAGAATTTGACGTGGTTTCAAGTGGTCGGTTTGA